TAAGAATTGAAATAAAAATTCATTGTAATACACCTTCACAATGGAAAAGATCCTATAGAATACATTAAAAATTTTTAAAAGAACTTTCCCTCCCTCCACAACTAGGCTTTCTGTTTCACTAAAGTGCAAGCTACAATTCCAGAGTAGTTCAGCCCTCCATAATTTCATTCTAACCTTCTGGACATAAAAGTGGTTATGGGAAGCAATATTTCTAGGTCAGTTAGTGGGAACCACCCCTTGGCCATCATTCAATCAATGCAGCATCTGCTGTGAGAATCCCACAAGTCAGAATGTACCTAGTGGAGCCCAACACAGCCAATCAAATAAAGATAAATGAGGAAACGGTAAACATCTCTCCATCTTGTGCTTGGCAGCTTTATCTTATTGAAATGATCTACACCACATGGAAAGAAATACTACTAGAGCTTTATTTGCCTATTTTAAACTTTTCAAATTTCCTTAAAATATTGTTTGTTTTTATTAATTTAATAAGTTAAAGTCACAAGGTAATAGCTTGTCCTGGCGTTCTTGAGATTGTTATTCAGAGGATTAGCAAAGAAAAACTCAGCACAGGTAACTCCATCTGTATAGTTGTCACTGATAAATCTCTGGAGCATGTGTTGAGCTTTCTAGTAGGCAGAGAGCAAGGAGTGTATCCTGAGAACTGTGCAGAGAAGAGGCTCTAGGGAGTGTGTGTTAGGTAAAGAAATGGAAGCTTTCATGGAATAGTCCTATTCTTTGAGCCCTGATCTATTCAAGTGACTGTTTTGTATGCTCTTTGCCAGCACAAATCTCATATTCAAAAAGGCCAGTCCCTCAGTGATTTGTCTTTTCTAAGATTATTGGAAACTGCTCTCCTGAAGACATAAATACTCTATTTTGAGAAGATTGTTATCATTTGTGCAATTTAAAATAGAAAAATGAGTTGAGGAAACCATACCTGGAAAGTATCAAAATGATTATGTAAACACTTATCTCACAGGTAAGGAAGAAGAATCCAAGTCCTGAAAGTGGATGGACAAAATGTCTACCAACTACCTGTATAATTAATTTCATTAATCATGCCATTGTATGTGGCTTGGAAGAGCTTAACAAATAGTACAATGTACTCTCAAGTATGTACTGAGTTCCTTCTGTTCACCTGTCACTGGGCTGGTCTCTGTGGATCCAGCAATGGAAAAAGGAGACTAAGTCCCTGCACTAATCATACCGATGGTGAACAAGAATAATAGGGGACTAAGGGGTGGTATGAAAGGGAGAATCATTTGAGACAGTCTATCTGTGAAAACTATGTTACTGGCCCTTCCCCCATAGAATGAAAATATTTCTATCATGTACCTATGAAACCCATTCTTCATTTCAAATTATAACAAGCCAGAAAGATTTATTTTCCTCAGAAATTGTATGACCCAAGACACATATCTTTCTACGCATGAATTCTTATCTGAAAACTGAGGAAACTGAACTGAACGCTGTCTCAACCAAAGCACTGCAATCGTCTGGCTTTTCCTTCCTTTTAGATCACAGGATCCAGAACTGATAAGAACATTAATCATTGTGCATGAATAAACAACACTATTAAACTTATGCACTTTTTGATCCTTCCCAGATAATTTTTAGGCCAGTTCTTAGAAAAGGAAACCTTGCCAAGGCTTTTATTCTTCATGTGTGTGTGTGTGGTACTGTATTTGTCATACTTAGGATAAAATACATAATTTTAGGACTCAGAAGAATCAGTGTATTAAAAAGAAGTGAACCAAATCTGAATGAAATTTTGGAGACTGAGAGAGGGAAATGGAGAGAGAGAGAGAGAGAGAATAAATTTTTAAAAGAAATTTAAAGGGAAACTACCATATAAGTAGCTTGATATGTCAAATAGCATACTCAAGACACTAAATAAAATGTTTTTCTACAGTGCTGAGCTGTGCATTCATTTCAGGTGCTATTTGTGTTAAATGCCACAAAGTGTCAACCACTCTTCATTTATAGAAAAGAGCCAATATGCACCATGTTGTTCACTTGTGCTGCTTGCTGTGGATTTGATCTTGATGGTGAAGCAGCCTGGTATTGCTCCAGGCAGTTTTATAGACAAATAACAGAGGCCAAACTGGCTACCAATCAGGAATATATAATGGGTCATGTAGTTGGCAAGTGGTTAATAGACTCTTTTTACAAGAAGGAAGTAGTCTGCCATGCAATGATTTTGTATCTCTCTCCTCCTACATTATTCTTCCCTATGCTATAAAGTTAAATGCAAAGTTGTCTCCCTCTACTAAGTCTCATCTGACTTTTTTCAGATCAAAAAGGTCATTGCCTTGTCAGAATTAAAACCTCAACAATGATCTGACTCTTTTATCAATCACGTTCTATCTTATAAAAAATTATGTTGTATTTTCTTGCATCCTTACTTGACTTTTAAGTATATCTATGCCTTGTCTAGATTAGGAATTATATCTTTTCGGTTTTCATCCTTGGGCTTAATACAATATATTGAAGGCATTTTACTGGATTTGCTAAAGATTTAGCTTTTCTTGAAACTGCAACATGCACAAAATTACCAAATAATGTAGTAAAACTTTAACCAAAGTTTAAAGTACGCTGATGTATTTTTTTGAATCTATTATTTTAATTTTCCAGGAAACCACAGTATACCCTAACTTTGTCTTCTCTTCAGGCAGCCAATGGCTTCCATTTTATCCCCCATCATTAAGGCTTATGCCCAGGAAAAAATTTGACTTTAGTTACCTTAGAATAAATTTAAGCTCTTTCTTTTCCTAAGAGAATTAATAGTTTGACCCAACTTTACTAGTGACATGAAAGATGTTGTCATCTTCAAGAACAGTTTCACATGAGCAAGTTTTAAGAAGAGAGAAGAAGGTAGACTGATGGCAATGACAGCCCCCAGTTAAGGGAGCAGTACACTGCTTTGTCATAATCTCATGAGCAACCCATTTGCCTCAAAGGCTGGGAGCAGGAACAACAATAAAGTCCCAGTAAGACATTTATATAAAAAAAATCTAAATTTAGAACTAGTCATCTCTAGTTGTTATTATTATTATTATGATGATGATGATGATGATGATGCCCAGAACCTTTGCCATGAGCTACATACCCAGACTGTTTTAGTTTCTGTTTTGAGGCATGGTCTCACCAAGTTCCTAAATTGCCCAGACTGGACTTGAATTTATGATCCTCTTGCCTCAGCCTCCCAAAGTGCTGGGATAACAGGCATGTGGCACCATACCTGCAATCATCTCATGCAGACATTTTCCTAGAAGAAGTCCATGTCAATAGCCGATATATCTGTACTGTTTCATTGAGGAAGGCTGGTTGTTGATGGTTGCTATGCATTTCTTTCTGCACATTGATCATGCTTTATATAGATATTTGTTTAAATGAACATTTATAGCCAGCAAAAATCCGCCCTGAGGATCCTTCTCAGTGTACAAAGCAAATTATAGGGGAGGAATACTTTAGGGCAAAAACATGTGTTGGCAACTTTCAAAACAGCCTACCTCACAAAACATTCATAATAAAGGAAACACAGATTCATAATTAATTTAGTAGGATTTAGCAGCAGGAGTATAGTTCAAATTTAAGAAATTTATAATGTAAAAAATTTCAAATGTTTCACATGGTTTAATAATTCTGAGTTATTTGATGAGTTCCCCCATTATCTTCTTTATCAGTTTTTTACTCAGAGACATAAAACTTTTCAGCTTTAACTACTACTAATGTTAGAAGTTAGTTTACATTTTCACATAGTAAAAATGTTTTGGTTTAAATTTATGTATATGCACATTGCTACATTGTTTTCTTACATGTAGAAAAATTATTACAATTATCTAGTATTTTCACATTTTTCCATGAAATAGGCTGTTGTTGAAATTTAATTTTAGTCACTGCAGAACTCTTCATGAATAAAATACTTTCTGAACCTTCATGGTGGGGGTATTCTTTTTTCATGTAACAATGAGAACAGCATTTTCCACTCTGGAAAAATCTTCATAGGCCTTCTTCTACATAGAATATGACAAACTTATTCCTATAACCCATACATCCATGAATCAGAAAGTGGTATTTTCCTAAAGTCATTTCTATAACCTCAAGTATTCAGTGGATAGTGTTGTCATCAGACGTCTGCCCTGGTACTGTAGTTGTGACCAGGGCAGGCATACCAGCACTAGCTTGTGGCTCTTCCTCATCTGTAGTCATTGTAACAACAAAACTAATGAAGCTAAGGTGAGAGAGTTCAGAGCAATGGAAGAAATGGCAAGTGATCTTGTTCGTCCCAACAGGAAAAATATTAGCAGAATTATGTAACTTGCCTTTCAATAGCTCTTACTTTTCTCAAGGCCTGGAAAATATGCTATTCGGCAGCCAAACACAGATTTACCATTGGAAAACAGAAGCTTCAGTGTTTGAAGGCAGAACATTTTTGAGCATTGCTTTTGAAGTAATTTCAAATCAGTCTTTGATGTTCTCATACCAGTTGTTAAATTTTTTAAATTAAAAATGAATATTCTGTATCTACATAATAGAAAGCTCCTCTGGTATGATTGCATGCAAAATACACCCCCAGGCTTTTCTCTTCCATTTTCCACATATAATTGTGTCTCTCTCTGGAATTCCTCCATCACTTTTCACAGAATTGCTGCTCCTGTGACTCTTTCTGCTTCCTAATACAGTTGTCCTGTTCCCAAAGGTCATCAACTTTAAAAATGAACATCTATGACTTTTTAATATAAGTTCTACTAGTGTTGTGGTAGTGGATCTTTAAAATATTTTTCATAGCAAGTGACATCATGCATGAGCTTTACTAAATGAAATAATAGATGTGCCCTCACCCCTGAAACTGCTTTGAACAAGTTTATTCAGAACTTGGCAGAAGAGAGGTATTTGAATTTTTTAACCTTAAAAATGAGATAAATGTTGTATTTTGATAGGAGGCAAAGGAAAATCAACATTAACCATAGCGTATTTCTCCATTTTCTATACAGGCCCACCAAGACCTTCACTATGACCGATGGGGACTACGATTATCTGATTAAACTCCTGGCCCTTGGAGATTCAGGGGTGGGGAAGACGACATTTCTTTACAGATACACAGATAATAAATTCAATCCCAAATTCATCACTACAGTAGGAATAGATTTTCGGGAAAAACGTGTGGTGAGTTTTTAACCATCTTGTTACCCTTGTTTCTCACTCCCCTGTATAAAATAATTAAGAATCTATGTTTATTGTATGCAGTGTATCTTTTATTATATGAAACTCATAACCTAACTTTAGAATATTACCTAGTAATTTTTGACTATAAATAACATTTTGCTAGAAAAATAGTGACACTATTGCTTGTCTTTAAAAGTATACAAAGTAACTAAAATAATTTTTAGATTTCTACATTGTGTTTTCTATGAATTCTTAAGGAATCTTAAAAATTAGTTATTCAGAATATAAAAATATTAACTCTTTGATCTGAGTTAAATTCCTCAATAAGATCAAGTATTTGTTTCCTTACTCTTAACAAAGAGGTTAAAAGTATGATTGGCAAATAGCTGGAACATGAGCTTTGTAAGTTCTTGCCACATTTTTATTTATGCGTAGCCTCAGCCATCAATCACTGGCTTATTATGAACAGAATGTGAGACCAATCCATGCTATTTTCCAAGATAAGGGAGTTTAAGTGAGAATCACAACCACTTCCTTCTTCTATGCTAGACGCTAATGACAGGAATAAGGATATTGTGACATGTGAGACGTGTAGCATAGGCACATAAGCTTTGCCAGATTTACTGCCACCCAAGGTATTCTTGACTGCCAGGATGGCTGTGGCTTCCAGTTGATGTCACAAATCAACTCATTCCTTGAGAACTGGTAAAGAAAAGAAAGGAAAACTTTGGTGAAAGGACATTGCCTGGGAAGTTCACTCATATCCTGCACTGTGTCTGAAAGTCAATACAGTATACTGTAGTTCTAGGGTTGTCCTGAATTCTCCCTTCCCCAATGTCTCACTGATCTGGGTATAAATCCTGGCAAAATTTTCTATTTAAAACATTTACATTAAACCACCAAACATATAAATAGGCCCTTTGAAGAAATGGCTAGTAAAGGAAGTCTTGAAATGTCCTATGTCAATTTACTAAGAAAGTCGATGTGTATTTCATGGTTAAGACATTTTGAAAGTCTGTTTCATACTAAAAAAATTAAGGTATTTGTAAAGCACTTTATTTTTTAAAAACGTGCTTTCCTATCATTTCATTAAAGTTTGTATTAACTCTGCAAAATAGGAAGGGATTATGGGTCTCAATTTGCAGATAAGAAAATTAGACTCAGGTTAAATAAAGAGCTGTTATCTGAACTTGTGTCCTAATTCTGATGTTTGCTGCCTCTGTGAGGAAATAACAGAAGGTGTCTAATTTAAGTTTGCAGAATGCCTAAATTGTGTTGAAAATCATACTTATTCTTGACATTTAAAAGTGAGATCTATGTGATACTTCTGGGGAAAATAGAGAAAATATTTATTCTGCACTCTGAACTTTGATTATAGTAATCAAGAAAAAACATGCTGAGTTAACCCAGAGAATTAGAATGTTGACAAAATCCAAAGCAAGAATAACTGAAGATTGTGTTTTCCAGGTTTATAACACGCAAGGACCTAATGGATCTTCAGGGAAAGCGTTCAAAGTGCATCTGCAGCTTTGGGACACAGCGGGCCAAGAGCGGTAATAAGAAATTACTTTGACATACAACCTTACAAAAACTTATTTCAAATGAATGCTGCACGTGAACTTGAAAAACGAATGATATGCATGTAAATCTTCTCCTGGTTCCAAAATAGACCTTTGTATGAGAAAAGTTATTGACTTCTAATTAATTAGCCATCACTAGCATTGCATAGTTGGTGCAGATTACAGAAATCAGATTCAAGTAAATCTGTCTTTGTATTCCCTGGTGGGAAGAAATCTTTTCAGATTTACTTTAAATGAAGATGGGAAATAAACAGTTATAAATGCTGCTCGAAAAGGGACTTGAAGAAAGACTTATCTCTTTCTGTTCTTTCATGCTGCCTCTTTGTTTCATATTCCATGACTAGCTTTACTTGCTCAAATTTTGATCACATGATTGCCCTGCATTCAAAATCTTTAACTTCCTTCCCACCTTCCTTCTCTGATCCTCTCCCTTCACCAGACCTGACCCCAATTCTACCTCCTCTGTGAAGCCTGTCCATACACCGCAGTTGAAACAAACTTCCTCTTTCTTCTGAATACCTGTGACACCTATTTTACCACCTGCAAGCCTCTAAATTAATTCAGGAGAATCTTCTATTTCTTTATTTAATGGCTTTTCAATGATTTACTTGTAATCTTTCCCCACCCAACACAATTGTGAGCTTCAGGAGCGCAGTGACCTTGCCTTTTATTTCAGCATAATTTCTGGTAGTGTGTACAAGAAATAGATCCTCAGGGCACAAACGTATTTGAGGCTTACAGCTGGAGGTATTATTCCATTACTGAATACAAACATATTTCTTTGAGATCCTAAGTTTCAAAGGACTAAAGACCCAAAACTAAAGACATTTCTCAGTATTAGATTAAGTTAAAAAAAAATGGCAACTGTTTGGCAGCAAAGATATTTAGGAGGCACATATCTCTAAATTTTGCATAGTATGTCTTAGAATGCTGATGCTTGTAAACACTTCCATTATTGAAATGCATCCAACATGTTCTCGCTTTCAGTGAGTGTAAACACCAGGAGAGGTGCTGGGCCCTCTCTGTTAGCTTCTCTGACTGTGAATCCCATTTACACACACCCTTCAACACTGCTGGTTCCTCTGAAGTCACTCCTCACAAGAGTCTCTATTCATGTGTCAGTTTTGTTGTCACAAAGATGTATGTTTTATAGACCGATTTAATTCATTTTTGAAGAAGTAACAGGAGAAAATGTGCTTGCCATATGTCCTCGCACATGATATGTCAGCCTAGCATGATGGCAGGCTTCTTTCATCTGTCCCCTTAAGACAGCTGTGCTATGAAGGAAATGGGGAAGACAAGGGGCAGCCTTAATAACACTGGGGTTATTCATCCCTTGAGAATTTTTCATTCTGTATGTACAGAGTGTAGCTAAGCAACCAGATAAGCAATGCCTCACACATTGTCCCTATACCTCAGGACATCTGGAAGTTCAATCCCTGTAAGGTAATGATTATGGATAAAAGTCACATCAAAGGAAAAAGGAAAAAATAATACATAATCCTTACATAAACTTAACAGGATGCAGGGCACAGCCTTAATGCCCAGTAAGAGAGAAAGTACACTAAAATATCCGACTCTGGAATCTTTCTTTATGTGGTTCTAGCTTTCCTCACCCTGCTGACTCACTGGACAGAATAAGGTTAAAGGGAGGTTATGTGAAACTACAAATCAATTATTTTTCTTCTTTGAAGGAATGAGCAATAAGAAAGATACCAGGTAGAAGAGTTGAAGTTATAAGCCTGCTCCAGGGCAAATATCTGATTATGTTGTCTGTGAAAATCTGTTTGATCCAATCAGGTCACACAACAAGTGTATTTTTGAGTGACTTTGTTACCTGCTGTGGAGAATGAGAGAGGAATAACATATTTTTATTCTGAACACATGCACAGAACAAAGAACATTTTTATTAGCCACTTGCTATGTTGGTTGAGTTCAGATGATTTTGTAGGTATAGCTAGTCTCTAAAGAGACAACCATTCAATAAAAGCCTTATAAACTCTGCAAGCTTCCAGGAAATGGCAAAAACCAATCTACAAGACAAAAGATGAATAAATGTTTTGCTATTTCCATTCTACACTTTCAGATCATGATAATAATGCCCTACGAATGAAATTCTAATTTGGAAATAAGTAGCAGTTAAATCTTTTTTGCTCTGCTTTGGAATTATAAGTATTCTCTACTGAAGTAATTTTGAATGTTTAAAAATTTGTATCTTTTATATGGTCTTTTTTCCTATCTCTGTCTTACTCCCTTTAATTTCATAAGTATTTGGTAAGCAAATGCCATGTTCCAGGCCATGACAATATAATGGATGTAAATTAGAAACACAGGTCCTTTTCTCATAGAGTTTACAGAGTAGGGTAGATGTTGGACCCAAAAGAATTTTTTTTTCAATAGAGGCCTAGGAGGGTAACAGGAAAACAAAAGACAATAAGTTAGTCCACCTGGAGGAGGCCATCACCCAGGTATGGGTACTGGGAAGGCTCCTTGGGGAAGTGCTATTTCCTCTGGTGCCATTTTGCATACACTCATGCAGAATCTATAATTGAGTGTTACCCAGTCTCAGAAAAGGTAGGATGGAAAGAAAACATTGATGTGAGATTACCCACAGCACAACCAGCATGTGTGAGACCCCAGGGAAGAGAGTGAACTTTCTCATATTGAAAAGATCAGCAGGCCTGTGGGTTGTCAAGAGATAAAACTGCACAGATAAAGAAGTTCCTGCAGAGTCTTGACAGCTCATGAAGGAGTTCAGATATTATCTTAGGAGCCATGCATAATCAAGGAAATGATGTTAGTAGAGAATTAATGTAATCAATAGAAAGACGTAGGCAGGGGTCCCAAACAAAATTGGACACAAGAAACCTAATAAGAAGGCTGTTGAAGTTATCCAGGTGAGAGATATAGGACCGAAACTAGACCAGTGGCAAGGTAAATGAATAGAAATGAGCAAGCAAAGACAAATATGCTGATGAACAGGTGAAGGAAAGAAATTATAGCAACCAGGAGGAGGAAGATAATGCCACTGACAGAATTCAGGAGGGAGGGCCAAGTTGGTTTTGGATGTATGACATTGGATGCCCCCTAGTTTGCTACATGTAGAAATATCCTACTAGTAATTAGGCACACCATGTAAAGGGCAAGGAAGTAAATGAAATTATCCAGAGAATGCACATAAAACAAGATAGGTTAAGAACAGAACCTGGAGAAAACCAACAAGAAGCAGCTACAAGTTAGGTTAAATAGTGGGCCAAAAATTAGAAGGTCATTTAGGATAGCAAGTGATATCTTTTTCTACTTCAAGGTTACATGGCTTTTTAACCCTTAGTCAAATTCTAGTCCCTATGTGTAGTCTCCAGTTTTGCTCATTGCTGGTGTCTAAATGGATCTCAGCATATTTTCAACTTCAGTATAGATTTTAGAGGATCAGGGGAGAGAAAGTCTTCACCTTATACAGGTCAGAGCATATTCTTCAACATCCTCCATTAGAAATGAGTGTTCTCACTTCCTTTCCTCCAGCTAAGTCTCTCTTTTGTCTCGATCTTGGGTTGGTCCTACTAATTATCTTCCTCTTCCTCATGAGTACTGGATGCTAGCCTGAAGCTCTGTTTTACCCTAAAGAGTTAGTGAGAGTTTGCTCACTAATGTCTTTCCCTCCAAAAGAATTCTAGTTCCAGCTGCTAAGAAGTTGTGGCTTCCCTCATAAGATCACATGCATTCATTTTCAGGCTACTGTGTGCCAAGTTTTCCTTTGGGCACAGACAAGAAAGATTGAAAAGTATAAGTTACCATCCCCACTATAAAGTGGCTTAAATTGTTAATGTGGGCCCAAGATACCCATGAGCAAACAACAAAAAGATTCCAAGAAGCTGTATAAGCAAGTATGTGATTGAATGTTACAATCTCTGTGTATAAGTGCCGTGGCCCAATGAAGCCAGGAAGTGGTCTTCTATAAACTCTACAAACCAAATCTCCCCTCCTGACCCTCCATCCATCTTTCTTCCCACTTTTCCATTTCTGTAGAGTCATTCACAACGGCCAGCCATGGAGATTTGGTATCTAAACCAGAAACAGCATTGTTAGTACTATGATCTTAAGTATGTGCACCAACCCTCAGAACTGCCCATGTGCTTCCTTGGCAGGTTCCGGAGCCTCACCACCGCATTTTTCAGAGACGCCATGGGCTTCTTGTTAATGTTTGACCTCACCAGTCAACAGAGCTTCTTAAATGTCAGAAACTGGATGAGTAAGTGGGACTGAGTAATGTGTGCTGGCGTCTTTGGGACTCCACAGCCCTGTTTGCTTGTTTGCCTTGCAGCCAGAATGGGCACACAGATTAACTCCAGAAAGTCATGAGTTTGGTGTTTCCTGTGTCACCTTCAGAGTGGTGGCCTTTATGTAGATCACCCGCGCCGACCTGGAATTTTACTTTCCTTTGACAATCTTCTTAAAGGAAGCCTATGTAGCTTTCTCACCACCTATATTTAAGGTCTTTATTACTGTAATTAAAAGACAATTAATTCCACTTGTCGGGTAAGTCTTGAACTATCACATTTATGACATCTAAGCTGGAGTATCTTCTGAGAGGGGAGACTGCCACCTAAGATGTCCTCAAAAACAAAAGGGTGAATTAGGCTCAAAATGACTCCAGAGCAGAACAGCCTGAAGATAAGGGACAGTTTGTCTGTCCATCACCTCACATTGGAATTTACTTCAAAGAGAAATTGTTCAAATGTGAGAAAGTCTCGAGCAGAAAAATCTCCAACCTCTGGGCCAGTTATATATAATATGAAATTTAAGTATTACCTAATTAGTCAAAGTCAGATTGATACAGATTAATACAGGAGAGAAGTGTCAGAAAATTCCTTTATTTTTTAATTGAGGTAGCACTAAAGTGAATATTGTATGATTTTTTTAAATCACACATACGGATTTCGATCCTAATTGGATGTACAATAATAGCAGGAGACATCAATTGCGCTTGCGCCTCACCACCATGGGGCTGGTGCTGCTCCTGTAATTTCCAAGTTTTTCCAAGCTGTTGGTGGCCAGAGTGTATATATATTCAACACTCTTGTATGACTGCCTATTTTGCCTATAATAAAACCCAGAGCTCTTCACCTACTTCTGAGACTGTTGTGATCAAGCCCTGGTATTTTCTCCATTCACTCTTCCTGGGACTCAGCTCACAGGCTTCTGGCCAATCTCCCAGGACACAAAATCCATTCCTGCCTTGGCTTCTCTGCATTTCCCCTTCCCTCTGTCTTGATCTTTCTACATTGTTGATTAAAAATGTATGGCAGTTTCTATCAAATGGAAACACTAGTGTATCCTCATTCACCTTATTCACCAGATCTGGTACCATGTGGCTTCTGGCTCTTCCCCAAAGTCAAACTGACCATGAAAGGCAAACATTTTAAATAGATTGAGGATACTGAGGTAACTACAGCAGTGCCCCTAAAGATACTCATTTGTAAAACTGCTTCAGAAAGTGGCAGAATGGTGGGATAAGTGTGTTTGAAGCAAGTGGAATTATTTGAGAGGATTCATCGCAATCTCTCTTTTTCTGTAATAAATTTTTTAAATGTAAATATTTACCATATTTTGTGATCACCCCTTGTATCATGTATTTCTGGATTTACTTGTTATTTACTTTTCCCACCACTAGAATGCAAGCTCTATGAAAGGGCAGACTTTGTCTCTTTTTATCCATTATGATATTCTGGACCTTGACAAATGTCTGATTATATATATATATGAATATATAATAATTACTACATACTACATAGAATGAATGCATTACATTTAAAATATTATTAATAATTTATATACATATAACTGCTTTCAAATTCAATAACACAGTTGTAATGAATGGGGAAAAATATCAACAAATTCTGACTTCCTTAATTGCTTCTCCAAATAAATGTTTATCTTAGGATCTGTCTTTATTTCCTTTCAATATTATATTTGGTTATCCAAAATTTGGAGATATTATTAGATTCTGAGGAGACAGGGAGACAATAAGATTATTAGATTCTTTCAGAGAATGGTTTGTTTGTCCTTTGGGGCAGATGAGACTCTCCCTTGTTTTAAGTCTCCAGAAAAACATTGATAGGATTTAAGGTAATAATTGCCTCATGCAATAGGTGAGTTTCTAACCCTCAAATATTTGATATTACAAGGTAAACCTCTGTGTTCTTCCTCATGCTGGTGACATAGGAAACACAAGTTGACAGGTGTCTCCACTTTTCTTTCCTCTCTCCTTCCCTCTCTCCCTCTTTCCCTCTTCCCCATCCTTCTTCACTTCCTTCCTCCCTTCTCTCTTTTCCTGCCTTCTCCTCTGTCTCTCTCTCCATCTCTTTGTCTGTCTGTCTGTCTCTTTCACACACACACACGCATGCACGCACATACAGTGTTTTCATGGAGAAAAGACAAAGGCAAGTTACTTGTCTTCTTTTTCTACATTAATTTTTGCTGATTTAAAACAGTTCCATTGCATAGATCATCACTTTGGATATCAGAAGAAGGAAATCTAGCAGCCTGTTACATAGAACAAGCAAATTCTTGTACTTTAAAATTATATTCATTTATTTCCACTTCTATCTGAGGAACAAATGGTATGAAGCAGTATCTCAGGACATTTCCCCAGATGTTAGAGAGCATGGACAGGTATGGTATTGATTCAAGTGCTCCATATTTATTATTTTTTATCATCAAATCCACAATTAATGAGGCACTGTTTCCTTTTATAGACGAGGAAACTGAGTGAGGAGAGTTATTATCTTGGCTGACTATTAACAGTAACCAATCAAACTGGAGATGAACAATTCAATTAAGAGTATACAGTAAGAGCAGTCACTTGATATCACTTGTTTATAACTAACTTGCTGGTCCCATCTGCTTTCTTTCCAAGGCCAACTGCAAGCAAATGCTTACTGTGAAAATCCAGACATAGTATTAATTGGCAACAAGGCAGACCTGCCAGACCAGAGGGAAGTCAATGAACGACAAGCCCGGGAATTAGCTGAAAAATATGGGTAGGTCATTTGCACTGAGAACTACCTGACCTTGCACCCTATTGCTCACAGATACAGTGGAGACTTGAGACTGATAATAGAAGGCATTCCCCATGGCTCAGGAGCACTATGTAAATTAGAAAGACCTTCCAGAGGAGTGTGTGATGTTTTAATGACTTAATAATAATAGCACTTCACATTTACTGAATCCCTTGTACATGCTAGTAACTATTCCTACTTTAACTCATTTAATTCCTCATAACCATGTGTAGAACATACTATAGTTATCTCATTTTAGAGATGAAGAATTTATTCACAGAGAGATTAAGTATTTTATGGAAGGCCACACAAATATAGGGAATAGAGCTGAAATTTGGTTCAGGCCACTTGAGATCATGCTCATGTTCTTAAACACTGTAGGTATGCTACTGCCTTGTAATAGCAATCACCAGAGTCCTAACCTGGACAGGATAATGTTACCCTTATCCTAACTGAGCTTGAATGACAGCTGAAAACAAACACAAAAACAAATGCAAAAACAAATCCATGTAATTGCGTATTGGCTTCCACACAAGAGTTGGTCATTATTTTTTAAACTTAAAACAGTTTCATCATATCTGCCAATTTTTTACTGAAAGATTCTCATTTAGAGCTTTAAAATTTACATCTTCTTGGGACTCTTTTAAAAAGGGCTGCATTCATGTAAATGTCTTAATCAATGGATGCCTAATTTATAATGCATCAGATTTCTGATGACTGATTGAAATAGAAGTGATATTTTAATAGTGGCATTGATCGCTAGTTTAAGCATTTTCCCCATGTTTGTTTTTAGAACAGTAATACTGCCTTGATTTCAACTCTTGACTACCTCCTGAAGCAGTTCCCTTGACCATAAAACTGGTCCTAATATTAAAGAGCAGCCTATCAGTTTTTCTCATTAAGAATAAAACAAGGATATTTCCAACTTATCCAACAGAAACATGACTTCACAATTTCTCTGCTACCCATGATTTTGCATGTGCAATTCACCTATACATCTTGAATCTTCTGATTTCTTCCTCTTAAAAATACTTGTCATTAACATTTCATGAGAAAATGTACTATTTTCCTTCTTGGCATTTTTCAATAATAAGTTTAAAAGATCTACTGAACAGCACAGTGACTGTATTTAATAGTGATAAATTGTACTCTTGAAAAATGCCGAGAGTCAATGTTAACACAAAAATAATTAGGTGAAGTAATGAGTCTGTTAGTTAACTAGGTTTTACTGTTCCACACAGTATATATAGACTTCAGAACATCATATTATATATGGTATATATATGCAATTCTGTCAGTTTCAAATACATATATATCATTTTTTTCTATATTAGCATACCATATTTTGAAACAAGTGCAGCGACTGGACAGAATGTAGAGAAATCTGTGGAAATCCTTCTGGACTTAATAATGAAACGAATGGAACAGTGTGTGGAGAAGACACAGGTCCCTGATGGTGTCAATGGCGGAAATTCTGGAAAGCTAGATGGGGAGAAGCCAGAAGAGAGGAAATGTGCCTGCTAGACTCTACATAGGAGCTGATAAACAAGAAAGCCCATCCAAATATTATTTCTGAAAACAGTAACAAATCACAAATTGTTGTTGAGTAGACCATGCACAACAGCATGTTTTTCTTTTTCACCCAGAAAAATCTATTTTAAGAAACCAGTATAGTCAAAAGTGTTCAAAAGAATTGACCAGCTATTCTTGAGTCCTTTCCAAAAATATAAGATTTCCTAAGGTGATCTAACCGTCATGGATGTTCAAATATTTTTTATAAAGAAGCATAGTATATAAGAGTGTATGTAAGAAATAAATATCAATGAGATTTTAAAAAGAGAGATCACACATTATCTTGTCACACTTGAGAAAGGAATAGGCTACTAATGGAAGAATGTAGATTTTTTAAATTTGCATTTATTTATATAAAATATGATTCATACTTCCACATTGCATTGGGGAAAACACATTAGCTAAAACTGGTTACACAATGAAAAATCCTATGTGATTCATTAAGAATGACATTATTGTATGTACACAGTAAGCTGAACTAGAGTGGTAAATCACTTATAAGGTTATGAGTGGGTGAATGTCAGAATTCTCCTGAAATGAGGAGATTATATAGTAATACAATTTTTATAGTCCTAAGTGGCAGATAGACAAGAACAGGATTGTGAATGACACAGTATAAGAGAAATGCCCTGGAGGAAAAACCCAAAAATATAGGAATATGGCATTTGTACAGCTGAAATTAAATGTATCTGCTACAGATGTCTGAAAGAGTTACTTACTCAAATTTCACTCAAGCCACTTAGAAGCTCACATTATCAGTTGGGATTAAAAGGAAATCTAAAGGTTTTCATTTCCAACAACATTTTATTTTTCTCAGCAAATGTGGTAAATAGTCACAAAGACAAACCACTGCTGTGTATCAAATATCTCTTATTTAACCTAAAATTTAAAGATATAATATATTGTTGATATAAAACAAAAGTAACTATTAATTATGGGTTTTCTTTCAGTTTACAAAAGCACTAGAAAGTTTAATTCATATTTTTCCTTCCAACCTTCATCTACCCCAACTTTGAATCAATTGCAAAAATGTTAAGTGTGTCACTTTTTAGATCAACAACTTCAGAATAATGATGGATCAATTCTAGATCACTCTGAATTTTCATGTCATTAATCATATAAAAATTGATAATACCTCATTCTTTCTTACAATATGTTTTTATTTTGTCTAAGGAAAAAAAATCTATAGCTGAACTATGAGGGTTGGGCCTGGATAAAGCTGTATCTTATCTCACCAAAAATTGCTTTTTTTTTTTTTAAATAAAGCTGCCTTTTCTTTCTAAAAATTATCACAAAGGTATTTTCTATTGACCATTTCTTATAATTGTGTACACTAAAACTAGTACATTAGTTTTTGACCTTTGTTTCTGATACCCAAAAGCCATTCCTTTTACAATAGTATTTATATATAAATAATATACCAGTCAATTTTATCAATACTAAAGGCAACTATTTCACATTTTTTCTTTTTAGTATGAGTATATGATTTTTTGACAGGATCATTCATTTTCCTATTAAATTTTTCCACCTAAACCTAGTTATTTCATACCCTGTATATTTACTTTAAGTTACAAACATTAGTGACCCTAAAATCCCAGTTCCCTCTTCAACCTGTCCTACAACCTCCATCTGCTATTGAATCAGTTTCAGAAACACAGGAAGATCCAAGATTATAACTAGTTTTGTTTTTAGGATGAACTAGACCCAGAAATGTGCCACAAAACAAAATAGTTTGTAAGCTTTTATGAGAATGGTCCCTAGTATAATTTTCAGTGTTAGCTGTACAGTGTTAACTAAGGCTTTAGCACCGTGCCAGCTTCTAAGTTTGATCATGGTTTTCAGTGGTGTTTTCTCTAGAATGCTCTTCATGATCTCAATGCCTGTGCCATGAAGATAGAAAGCTATTAGCTAAATATTTAAGGTATTTCTTTTAGAAGGAAACTGGGGGAGAAACCATATAACCATTGCTGTCACAAAATTTGGTGAATTTTTGTGATCGTTATGAGTTTCTTGGTGGGCGGGGGGCGGTGTGCGCGGATTCAAATTGTGATGCTCCTCGATTTCCATAATAGGAAATGCTTGGCTTTTATAAAATGCTAAAGATATTCTTGTTGAATATGTCTTTCATTTATTATTCATTTTCCAGTTATATGATTGATATAATGTGCCAAGATTCTGTCATTGTCAATTATCTAATGAGTATTTTTTCAGGGTCTATTTTAAGATTGTTATTTGATAGCTGGAGCATGAAGCAGAGGGTGATGATGCCCATAATTATATCACTATGCCTGTAAAAATAACAATTATTGGGTAATAATCTCAAGAGGAAAGAAATTTAAAACTGACAAGAAAATTAAAATGTTATTCTATTTTTAAGTAAATACTTGATCTAAAAATATTTTCCCTGTAAAATTTGACATGTAACCCTAAAATCTAGGTAGCCATTATTAGGAATTCCTTCTTCCATTATTACAAGATCAATAATAGCTCAATAGAATTCATTTCCAATTTCAAATTTATCTGGTGACATGAATACACAAACTGCTTTAAATACGGGCCGGGGATTTAGCTCAGTGGTTTCACCGACTGCTGCGTAAGTGCAAGGACCCGAGTTTGGTCCCCGGTACCAAAAAAAAAAAAAAAAAAAGCTGCTTTAAATAATTCCGTGTTCTTTTTATCCCACAACGGTATATATTTTCATCCAAGATGTGTCCTGTTAGCGATTGTCTCCAAATGCTTCAGTAAACCATACTGTATTTTGAAGAAATGTTTAAAATGTACGTGAAATCCTTTCTGATATAGAACTACCTTCTAGAGTGTTTACACTGGTTTGATGTTTACATCATCCTAACTCAGTGCCTCAAATACTTCTGTGACCAAATTTGTCTCCAACCACAGCTCATTTCCTCTTATCTCCTTTTAGGAAGGCCTTACTGTGGCACTAACACGGCTAAAGGTCTTCTGATATCTTCAGCAAAGGATTCAGTGACTTTATTGGAATGTGGAGATTGTTACCTTCCTCTCTTGGTTTCCTAGCTTACTTCTCACAGAGTGGGAATTACTTGAGACTGTTAACTGTGATTAGGTACAAGGCTGTCTTTTAATGTAAAAGCAGAAAGCCTTTTAAAAATGTATCAAACACAGTCAAGAAAACATAGTGTTTGTCTTGGTCTGATGACGGTAACATGCCATGAAGTGAAGACAATACTGAGTGCTGGGAGTTGAATTTGTATATCTATTAAGAATTCTAAAACTCTTCTAAGTTACCACTTTAACCATTTATCTCTCATTTCCATATTATCAGCTATCACACTGCAAACAATTTAAGACTAGCATTTTCTAAAGTATTTTATCTGTTATACTTTACCAAATGGGCCATTCTGTGTGTCTTTGTCATGCCTCTATTGTAGCTGTTTGCCAACCTGTACAGATAGGAAGAAGTTGGCAAGAGTTTTTATCAGTGCTTTCTTGTTCCTGTATAAGAAATAGAAGCTTGACTGTAAAGACATGACTGCATTAAAAATGAATGTAACAGCCACAATTTGAATGTATTTAAACTGTAAATTGAGTCTATTGGGAATCGACAAATTTGATGAATCTTGTGTTATCTTCAACACTATAACAAAAGCTAGAAACCAATATAGTGCACTGAACACAGTGGATGACAAAGCATAGTATATAATTTGCAACACTTGTATCTGTGCAATAAGATCATTTGCTGTTCTAAATCTCTGGTCATTTTAAACAGATACATATGCTTTTGTCAATGTGTATCACACCATAAAATTTGAGAAAAAAAATCATCCATAAGGATTTTAAATTTATATTATAAAACTCAAAATATAAAAAATGATATTCTAATCTCTTGTTTCCTAAAAATATGTAATATCTTTTTTAAGAGAGAATTTGAGAGCAGATGTTAGCCAAAGTGATAAAAGAGTTGTCTTTTACCATCTATTACCAAGCTTTACAGCACTGTCGAGTGTGTTTGCATATTTTAGGGAAAGATTTATCATTTCTAATGATGCTAAGATGCTGTCTATATTTGAAAGGTTGTCTAAAATTTTTCCACAGCTATATTTTCTTCTTGGTCCTTGACCAAGGTGATATCAGCTTGTTTCTTGGGAGAGTGTTGATCTCTTAAAACGTAAAAATAAATATAGAATGGTACCTTATATGAATGTTTGTCTCAATGCTTTATAAATCTCTGAGGCTGCTTGTCTCATAATGTAAAAATTATAAAAGTATTGGATACATTGAAGATTTTATGAAATTATTGCCTTTGAATTCTTGGGTGAAGGCCTATCCAAAATGACATGGTTGAGCAAAAACTGTGAAGAGAAATAAGAATTAAAAGTTGCCTAAATTATACTCTTTGATACAGGAGAATATGAAGAAAGGTATTGGTTGATTTTTAGAAAAAAAGGATTGGAGTGTTTATAACTAGATCCATGGAAAATATTCATTTTAATCTAACAACTAGAGGTTATGCCCTTAAATTAAGCTAATAAAATATTTAAACACTAAATATTTCATTAGTGTCATCAAAATTTGGGATATTTAAAAACATTTAATTTACTATCTATGAATCCAATATCCTCATAAATTGTACCTGGACTACTTTTATGAGGAATAACATCCTAAATATGTTTTTCTGCAGAGTTCCTTGTATCAACAGTCAATGGTTAAGATATTTTTTAACTTCATATATAAAGAAAAGCGTTAACAAAAATAAACAAACAAAAACATTAGTACCAAAATAGTGGGACTAAAGATAATGTCATCTTTTGTGAAAAAATATAATTTATTGAGTGGTTTAAATGGGATTTTCTGGTTCCTTTCCTTTCTAAAAGGTCTTGGAAGTCATAGCTAATATCTCTCAGCTGACTTAATCTGTAAAGCTTATTAGTACATTCTGTAAGAACCAGCACATCTGATCTTAACTAAATGGATCCCTTATTTAACCAGTTCCTACTGCCCTTATATTTGTTGGCACATAAAAATATTGTCTGTAATCTATGCTTATCCTTATTTTTTTCTGGGTGACTTTTCCCCAAAATTCTCTGAAAGAAAGCCTAGTGTTGCAGAAAGAAAAAGTGTCCTTGGGGACCTTATTATGTCATTCAATATCTTAGTGGCTTCTCATGTGAGTTTATAAAACTTGAGTGCCTCAAAGTGTACGCAACAGACTCAAATGAGAATATATTAAAACTGGTTTGTAAATTGTATTCCCTCTCATAAACAGACACTTAAACTAAAAATGAGTTAAAAAGTCATAATCTGGACCACTTGTAAGAAATATAGCAGTAGGGGCTGGGGATTTGGCTCAGTGGTTCCGCCGCCTGCCTTGCAAGCACAAGGACCCAGTACCAAATTTAAATAAAAAAGAAAGAAAGAAATATAACTGGAACACCACACTAATTTCAATAAGGGGACGAGAAACTACACATGAGCAGTCACCTTGAGGTGCCTGGATTTGATTGAAAATGTTGAATATATCTAAATGTTGAAAAAATATGAGCTTTACTTCAGTCTGTGTGTTATCTTGTATTTCTTTCAAAGAAATCAATTCAATTATAAATAGTACATTATAACCTGGTCAAAATCTTCTGTACAAATAGGGCTTTTGTGTCTATTAACTTGTACAAGATTCTGATTGTATTTGAAATTAAGAAAAATAAATTATTCTGCTTTAGTTAATGTGTTAAAAGTAGACAATATTCTATTAAAATAACACTGAAGTGCTTTACTGTAGCCCACTAGTTTACCTTTGAGTAATGTTATCCTCATTTTTAAACTAGGCATGTTTTGTCTGTCTTCTGCACAGATCTCTGTTTTGTCTAATGATTTGAATATAACTCAAAACTTTGAACTTGAAGTTTTTATTTTATATGCCCCTGAATAGACTGTGGTTCCTGACAAACTCAGTTAGGTCATTATTTTGTTGTACCAAAGTTCTAGTGGCTTCAGAGATTCTAGCATCCAACGATTCTGTGGCATGTGGGTTTGAATACCATGGTTGAGATATGTATTCAGTGATTGTTTCTGCACACTTTTCAAATAAAAATGCATTTTTATCAATTGTTTCATGTATTCAAAGCAACTTTATGTCTGTGCTAAAGTTGAATATGTGGTCAGTGGGGAACATTAAATCAGCATCAACGTGAGAGTTGTGTCACATTAAAAACGGGGGGGAAATAAGGACTCATTTGGAATGGCCTACTGATTTGTATTTATCACTCTAAATTTTCTCATTAATTATTTAAAGACTGGGCTTTGCAAAATGAAAGTTTCTAATACTTTTGAATGATGCACCTATTAAAATTAGCAATTCACATTTTGGAGTATTCCATGGCACAGAAGTACTTCGCATTATAACCTATTTCTTCCCTATAATAAACTTCTGTGCAGGTGGTGATATCTCCCTTGATCACAGACTGGTAAAAGCCTTGTGTTTAAGGCCAATTCAAGACCACAGCCATGCAGCTTCCTTTACAATGTTCACTAGCAAAGGATTCCTTGTTCCCAGAGTGGATCTCCCTCCATATGCTACATAGAGAGGCTTTGCCAAGATAATGATGAGTTTTTATTAAAGATAAACAACTCTCCCAAGTGCAAGCAAGTAAATCCTTGGCATCATTTTCTCAACTGTACTCCCAAGTAGCCATAATGCTGTTTCATAGAGGCAGCATCTTTTGCCACCGGGTTCATCGTAAATTATTCAAGGTAAATCAGCTCACTTTCGCTCCTGGTTTTATAGAAATTTTAAAAGTCATAGCATAGCCTATATTGAAAAAGACAGAGCATCCTGATATTCACTGTCTGTAATTGTAGGATTTCTGTTTGTAAAACTGTAGGCAAGGTAGGCTATAGTATCCACAGTTCTTTATACAAAAGAGAATTCCACTTCTAATACAGATGACTACTTGTGGAGAAAGGGTTAGCTGCAGTAAGAATGCAAGCATTGCTGTCCTGTTGGAAATGCATTTAAGTGACTTGCATCATGGTTTTGGAAGACAACACATTGGTATGACCCAAGATACTGGAAAGGTTTTTCTGACAGTAATCCCATTTCTGTAATTATCACAACTCTGAACCATTTCCACAAGTCACTGACAGACAAAATCCTTTTCTTTACTAAATGGCTGAAAAGAAGTACCAGCAGCCAGGTTACAACAGAACATAACAACGTGCTGGGATCCCCAGAGAGACACTGTGTGCTCATTCACCCTGGTGAGAAAGTGGCCCCCAAGGAATGGCCGACTCAGGACCGTGCGAGTTAGGGCATGGGATAAGGGCACGCACCACGGGCTCCTGCTCAGGGGCCTCAGCCTTTCTCTGCCTTGCACTTCCAAGAGCAACTGATTATGCGGCCTCTGGGCCCACAGGTTTGGTCCAAACCAGACCGCTTAACTGAGCCATCTAACAGCCGGGTTCCCTTCAGTGCCTCTTCCGGAGAACATGGGCTTTCTCCATCTACTCAGGCAAGTAGACAAAGGAAGGGAGTGCCACGTGGATTCGTAAACACCCTCAGCTTTCCACTGCTCAGAATTCAAAGATGAACTGGAAGGAAAACATACTAATTCTATAAAAGGAATGATTGATACAAAGAAAATATGAAAGAAAAACTTACTAATTAAATAAAAGGAATGATGTATACAAAGAAAATATGAAAGAATACACTGTCTGGAAGAGCATTTAGGTAGTTTGGGGACTTACTCTTTGATCCCTGCCCATGTGACTCTGTCACCAACACGCCTGGTTTGTTCCTTCCTCTGGGCTTGGGCACCTGCATGAGCATCTGCCTGGACCACTTTGACCAAATAACAAACAATGCATTCTTCCTGTTATTGCTTAAATGTTAATTTCAAAGAGGGAGGTCTTCTTTAAGATTGCTGACCTATTAAGTTACCATTTGTTAAATTATTGTCTCATTTAAAATTTTAACCACATTCTATCATCCCTGGTAACTCCTCTCCCTGTTACTGGCTTTATTTTAATCCCAGGTCAACAAACATCTTTGACTTTATTATCTTTTCCTTATCAATAGAATACAATTAAGTGAAAGGGAAGATTTTTTCTGTTCATCTCTTTTGCCACTCCCTGTCCCCATTTGCCCACCTGCTGCTGTAATACCAGTGTCCAGAAGCTCTCCTGGAAATGAGGGGGCACTCAGTAAATATTTGCTGTAAACCTAAATAAATAAATCTAACCTGGGAAACCGATTAAGTGGACTTACTAACTTTTTCTTTTCTTTTTACTGTATTAGTCATTATCTATAATACACTGGACACATTTAAGTTGCGGGATTGAATGACGTTTGTCTTTGAATATACCCAGGAAAAACATCATTATGAAGACACTGACAATTTCTCTATGTCCTTATTTTTCTGTGTCCCTTTGCAGCCTTTCCCCTCCTCTACTCCTGTTCCCAGGCTGTCAGGGAAACGGTTAAAAATGAGAATCAGCAAAATGCAGGTGCTCTCTGAAATAGCCTTGGCTCCTCTGCCTTCCTGCAGAAAGGGTGACTGTTACCTGAGAAAAGAATGTATAGAGACAACTGTGACACCTAAAGGACTGACCATTCCCAGGCTCTAGCCAGCGCTGGGAACAATCCTTTCCAGACAGGCAGGTCTGTTGGCACCAAGCCACCTTTGTGTAAACTCTGTATATATGCCTGGAAAAACTCAAGTGCAGCCCAGTGACCCTCACCAGTGCCAGCCAAAGGCCCTGCTGCTCTGTGCAGGATGCTCAGTGTGGACTTTTCCCTTTGATTCCCATCCTTTCCCCTGTCATCAATGTGGTAATGCAACTTTGCTTTCTTCTTTGCTCTTCGCTCTCTAATAAATACTTTAAACATATTTACTCTTAGAGCGGCTTTTCTCTGTTGGTGCAGATCTGAACCTCAAACTTCTTTGGCCACATATATGTCACTCCTTGCTGCCACACAGGCAAATACTGATTTGTCACCATGAGATCCTATAGTATATCTTCTTTCTTTCTGTTTTTCTTTTAACTTAGCATAATGATTTGAGGTTTATCTATTGTATATATTTGTTTGTTGATGTTTTGGTTCTTTTTATCTTTATAGTCATTAGTCCACTGTATGGCTGCACCATGCTTTGCTTATTCATCTGTTAAAGGACATTTGGTTTTAGCTGTTGGCTCTTACAAATAAAGATGGTATGAAAATTCATGTACAAATCTTTCCATGGACAAAAGCTCTTGTTCCCTTTTGGTAAAAACATAGGAAATGAAGGGTTAGATAATATGATAAAAGTATATTTAAACATTTTAAGAAATAACCTGTTTTTCAAATTGGTTCTACCACGTCTTTTGTTCCCACTGGGAATGTACAGTAAATTCAGTTGCCTCAAATCCTCAGTAGTATAGTCTTTTTCATTTTAGCTGTTCTGATGGGTGTTTAGTGGTAACTCTTAGTGGTTTTAATTTGCATTTTTCTAACAGCTAATGTGTTAAACATCTTTTCATGTATGTAACTGTCATTTGTATATTATTTTACAAAGCAACTGTCCCATCATTTAAATCCATTTTTATTTCTCTTATTGTCGTGATGTTGAGAATTCATTGTATCTCAAATTCTGGATACAAATTCTGTATATATTATGAATAATTTTTCCAATTCTGTGTCTTACTTTTTTAATTGTGCCTTTCACAGAGCAAAGTATTTGAATTTATTGAAACCCAAATTTAAAATTTTTTTATGGTTCATGGTCTTTGAATGTATTAGAATCTTGCCTATTTTAATATTGCAAAGGTAATCTAGGTTTTCTCCTACAAATTCTATAGTTTCAGCTTTACATTTAGGCATATTGTCCATTTTGTTTAATCACTGTGTATGGTATGAGATAATGTTTTCTCTGCCATCCAGATACTTCTATACTTCTAATATCATTGAGAAGACTTCCCTTCCCTCACTGGATACCCTTGACACCTTTGTCGAAAATCAGTCAATTACATTCATTAGTCAGTTCATACTTTAGAGTTCTATCAATTGTATGAAATACACACAAAAGTTCTATTTTTGCCTGTCCAATCTGTATCTTGTATTTGCGCTTCATTTTCTTGTGATATTCCAATGGCTAGGATAGCAGTGCAAGCACATTTACCATTTCCCATTGTTAGTGGGGAAAACATTAGCTTTTCACTATTTATGATATTACCTGAAGGTTTGTCATGTGCTTTTTACAAGAATGATAATTTTTTTCTATGATTCCAAGCTCCCATAATTTTATCATGAATTGGTAATTAATTCTGTCAAATATTTTTCTTTATTAAAATAATCACATAATTTTCTGTACTTTGTGTATTAATCAGTAAATTACACTGATTAAATTTCTAATAAGAAACTAAGCACATCCCTAGGATACATCCCAATCTGTCACAAATCTACAATAAATTTAAACACTTCTGAATGTAGAGGAAAAGAAAGATATTTCTTTTCCATATTAGATTTATAGCTGAGACTGTTATAACAAAAGACAAACTAACAAAAGGAAAATATACAAATTTATTTAAGTTTTACATAACATGGGCACCATTATAAGGAAATGAAGACCAGAGAAATGGATAAGCTGCACATTTTTAATGCTAGACTTGCTAAGTTGTAGAGAAATATGATTGGACAAAGAAGGGACAAAATAGGAATAAATTAGAAGGGATTGAGCAAGGTTATTTCTTCTGACTTTTTCTGGATCCCTGTGTCTTTAGAAATAAGAACATTACTTTCCTCTGGATAATCAGAGGGGAACTTTCTAATGAGTGTCTTGTAGGAAAAGGTCAGAAAAATCCTTGCTAGGTTTTATGACTTACTTCAGAGGAGAAAGTAGGAAAGTAAAATGAATTTCCTGCTTCTGCTCTTTTCTCAAAGGCCATTGTACCATATGTGAGGATAGCATGTCTTGAACTCCATAAAAAGTATATACTTTAATAATAAAGCAGTTGAATATAATTATTTAAATCTTTATTGCATCCTTAACATTTTACACAAAAATAAAGGATAAAAGGAGGGATGTAAGAAAAGAAAGGAGGAAAAGAGGGAAGGAGAAACAAAAGAAGTAACTAAAGGAATTACAATAGTTATGAATTAGTTGGACCACTTTTTTCATTAATTTTATTGATACATTTTAGGTATACAATATGCTGACATTCATTATTGGGAGTTTATACCTTTACATGATATATCTTTTTTTTTCGTACCGGGGATCGAACTCGGGTCCTTGCGCTTGTGCAGCAGGTGACAAAACCACTGGGCTAAATCCCCGGCCTACATGATGTATCTTGGTTCTTTTTTTTTCCCCATTCCCCTGCCCTCCCGTCAACCCCTCCACCCCTCCCCATTCACAAAGAATTTGTTTCCATTTTTTTTCCTTTTTTCGTTTTTATTTTTTTCCCTTCTTTCCTTTCCCCTACCCCACCCAATGCTCATTCCCCTTTGGACCTTTTCTTCCTATTTCACATTATCTATTATACATTTTGATCCTCATTTACATTTTCAGTTTCTCACACCAGAGAAACTATTCAGTATTTACACGTGTGACCTATTTATTTCACTTAAGAGTATGGCCTCATCCATTTAGCTATAAATGTCTCTAGTTTCTCATTCTTTATGGCAGAGTAGTACTCAGCTACCTCACCTTTGACAACGGAGCCAAACACCCTCACTGGAAGAAAGATAGCCTCTTTAATAAATGGTGCTGGAAAAATTGAGTTTTAATTTGCCAAAGATTAAAACTAGACCTATATCTCTCACCATGCACTAAACTAAAATGAAAATGGATTAATATTAAAATAGAAACACTAAACTGGCTGGAAGAGAGGTTAGTTGGAGCACTTTTAAGTTCTGGGTGGCTAGGATAACTACTGAGACATTAATAATGATTCTGTATTTATTTGCAAGTCAGAGGAGAGGTAGGGATTTCAAACAGAAGTATAGAAAAATTTGAAAAGTACATGTGCTCCTCTTCATTTCATAAAATGACCATTATTTTTTAAATTTAGAATAAGAACATAATATATTTTGCAGTTAATTTGGCTCCAGAAAAAATTAGCAGACAATTCAGGAAGCTATTTAAATATCTTCACTGATAAAGACAACCCATATATAGTATGTATTATATAGAATGAACAGTCACATAAATACTACTTAATTCATTCTCTTTTCTTAATCTCAGTTTCAACTTATGTTTCTCATTGTCCTCATCCTCTTCTTCAGCTTTCAAACTTTAAAAACTTTTATTGATTGATTGATTCACTGAATTGCAATACTAGGGACTGAACCCAGGCTTCTCTGGATTTTTAAAAGACAGGGAGGGCTCACTGAATATTAACTGGGCACTTAATCCTCACAAGACACTTGCAGAAGGCATTTTTATTTCCTTAATGGTGTCTGATGCCAAACATATTTTAGGCTACGTTCCTTTGCCATCTTTGTTTCTTCTGTTTTTGTGTGTCTTTTTTAAAATGTTTTTTTAATTTTGGGACAAGGTCTTGCTGTGTAGTTCAGGCTGTCCTTGAACTCACTGTGTAGCCCAGGCTAGCCTCGATCTTGCAGTGATTCTCCTGCCTCAGCCTCCTGAGTGCTGGGACTACAAGCATGCACCACCACATCCGGTCCTTTTACCATTTTTGGATCAAAGAATGTAAAAATGATGGAACTTTTAGATAATTCACAGTTGAACGTTCTGACTTTTATCAGCCGTAGCTTTGGCAAGTCGAGATTCTGCTAGGTATCGCTAACAATAACATGGAGATGGAAACCACTGACATCAGCTGCTCTTTTCTCTGGTAGTCCAAATCTCTTCTGTCTTCTCCCTAAGACGGTGAAGAATGAGAGCTGACCGCTAGTAGACTGAGGGGCCCAGTTCAGTGTATTCTGTGTTACCAGACTCGCACATCAGGGGCCTGCTTCTCCCAACAGGAAGTAGAACTGAGAATAAAAACCAGTAAGCCTCACAGTGATGTAATCATTATGTACAGCAAACACTATTAGAAATTTTAAAATTAAGCAAAAAAAAAAAATACTACTTAATTCATTTATGCCTAAAGACTGCAATGTAAAAAGAAATAAAAACAAAAAACTACAAACTGTAACATTACTTCTCTTTATTACAAGGCATTTTATATGCAATTATTCAAAGGATATACTATCTCAATTTTTGTTGTTCAAATACTTAACAACAACTTGTGTTTATATGGATATACAATCAAAGTACTACTGAGCTCCTCTTCATTTCATGACTTCATGTATAAACTTAAAGGCTCCTTCAGACATTAATTAGCATATTTAGAAGTATAGTTTCTTGAACTATAATTGGTATTTCTTTTCCTATATTTTCTGTACAGTTATAATTTCAGGCTAATAGATTTCATTCCCCATTGTAGTCTTTTGCTTTATCACTCAAATGTTTATTTAAAATATAATTCAAATGATAAAAAGCTAAAACAATAAGGACACAAGAAATAAATATGTGACAAATAAATGATAAGCCTATAAAAATATTATCTTACTATAAAGATTCTCTTGTATTTGAAGAGTTAGATCTTCTCAGGCTTCTAAAACTGACTATTGTTACTTTCAGGAAATCCAAAGACCATTTCAAAATGAACCTGGAGTTCTGATGTGCAGGTCTCAGCTGCACTATGTTAAACTGTACCTCCGTATTAAAATATAATATAATAAAACCAAAATTAAACTCCACAGTATCTTTCTACCTTTGACTTTAGAATAAACTATTCTAATGGAAATCATCAAGATTTGGGGGTATGTTTGAACACTGCAAAAATCTCAAATTTATTATATTCCATTGGATGACTGAGGTATAAGAGGAACCAAAGTGATCTTCAAGTGAAAGTTCAATTGTTTTACTACAATGCTAAAGCTTGAAACAAAATTCATGCTCTCAATTTCCCTACAAATGTGTTCAAAAATGGAATACAAAGAAACTCTTCTTGAAATGTGGTATAAAGTCATAAATAATAAATGTAATATAAGCAGATTCTTTTGCAGAGAATTTTGTTTAAACTGAATTCTCATGACAGTAATCTAACAGGTAAAAGGCCAACTCATTTCAAGAAATACTGACTTTATCAATAAGTGTTGTTTCTATCATCCACAGGATAATGCAGGGAGATAAAAAGAAGTCACATGCTAACATAACAAGAGAAGGTATTTGAATGAATATAAATAGCCAAGTCAAAAGGTGCAAATCCTTACCCACAGTTAGCAGTTCTACAAATTACTTAACCAATCTCAACACATCTTCCTCTGTAACACAGGGATAATACTATGGCCTGCTTTTGAGAGTTTCAGAGAAAACAAAAGGTAAAGTGCTTAGAATTTTTTCCAGCATAGTATAATATGCCCTAAATGTATTAGATAACTATATGCTAAGAACTTGCAACCAATAAAAATGTTTGCTAAGACATCTTCAAGCAGGAAACTCACACAGAATGCTTGTGCAACATTTCAAGGATTACAGTACTTGGATGAACTTAAAAATACATTACCTCATCTTACTTCTACATACTTTTAAAATATTTAATAGATAATACTGAGATTTTTATTTTCCATGTTGAAAGGATGGAAACATCCTTCCCAAGAAAATATTTGGAGTTACACACAAGAGAGGATGATCAGAAGCCTACAAACAATTCTCCTTTGGGTGACTGAGGTCTGTCCTTATTCATCTAACTAAAGTGTAGGCTGCTTTCTGAGTGTCAGTATGTTTGCATTTCCACAGGTCAGAGTTTGGCTTTACTCAGCAATCACAAATTCCATTTGTAATAAAGGTATGGATCAAAACTTAAAGACACTTTCACAGAAACTACAAGTATCATTCCATTTAAATCCACAATAGATGTGTTTCGGGGTGGTATGTGTTAGCAGAATTATTATTTTATACAGATATTAATGAATATCAATAAGAAAATTAGTCACAGAGGAAGAGTACACTGTACACAGCCCTGTGCATTTACGTGTGTGCTTTGCTTCTCATAAGGAATTTTTCAACCCAGATCAACTAAAATCAGTGCATTTCTAAGGTATGGGGAGGTAGTCAGTGTTCTCAACTTTGGAGAGCAATATTGGTTAGGGAGTTAGCTTAAAAGAATCTACTCCTGGGCCGGGGATTTAGCTCAGTGGTTTCGCTGCCTGCTGCGCAAGCGCAAGGACCCGAGTTTGATTCCAGCTACCAAAAATAATAAAATTTTAAAAAAAAGAATCTACTCCTTCCCCTGCCCATAATTCAGTAGAGAATAACACTCTCTCACTAACAATGGATCAAGAGATGAATTTAGGTAATGATAACTATTTCTCATTATCTAAAAATAAATTTAAAATATATCATTTCAATTCATACATATATAAATATATATATATATATACACACTCTTCCTTCTATTCACTCATATAAAAACTACTAACATGAGATCAAAGCCGTTGATCATAAAAGACCTCCTGTAGCAAAACTCTGAAAACCCAATTTAGATTTTTTTTTTTAAGTTTTAAGCAGAATTCATTTTCCATTATGCATAATCACCTGATTTCTTCACCAATTTAAAGTTTTGGGAAAATAATTGTTTCCCTCAAATATATTTATTTGATTTTCAAATATATTTATCTGATTTGGGGAAAATAATTGTTTCCCTCAAATATATTTATTTGATTATAAATATTTATATTTATTTGATTTTATTTGATTACCTTCCTGCAAAGCTACTGATGTATAATAAATTCCACTTAAATACAGGCATTGTGCCATTTCAACATGAATATTTTAAATGTTGTCTCTAAATCCAATCTAATTGTATTTCAAGGAATACATGAGATCCACATAATCTTTTTCAATCAGATCTTCATCCAGTTCATTTCCGCAGCCTAATCAACATCAAATACGGGGAAGTACCTTCAGTCTTCAGGTCACTGTAGAAGAGACAACGTAGTTACCAAAATGGAGCATGGTGAACCCTAGTGATATAAGGACTGTACCATCACCATAACAACTATACTACCCAGTCTGAATTAACTGCTTTGATCTAAGGGGTGCCCACTAAGGAATCCACTCTAATTAGCTCTCCTATGAGTACTACATGGTAGAAGTACACTATGAGCACATTTAACACAGGGAAATTAATAGGACAAGCGTGAGGAAGAGCAAGGGGGAAGCCAGACAGTCAGAGCCTGTGGCTACCTTTCCCCTCAACAGAGATGCCTGTCAGAATGAGCTGGAGATGAGAAAATACAAACAACTGCTCCCCCAGGAAGTTTCAGTTATCCAGGTCTCTCACAGCCTGAAATTCTTCCCTCCTTGTGTGATTCTAGCATTTAAAACTATCAATGTGTGTACATATGTATGCAGATACATAGCTAGTTATATACACATACATAGATATGTGTATATCTTGCTGTTTAACAATACAGCTGCTCAACTCAAGTAAATCACTTCTTCTGGTGTTTAACTCAAAAAGTATCTGTTTTAATGCTTGAGAAAAAAAAATCCTGCTTGTTTATATTTACATAGAACTATATATCTTGGGTGATTTAAAAAGTTTGCCAAGATTAGATTTTAAGCGTACATGATTTTATTTTTTTGCCTTGATGGCTACATTTGTACTCCAATCTCTTCCTAAAGTTATAATTCCATGTTACATTGATGAATCCAGGTTTACCTAACCACATTTCCATATTTCCATCCTTCAAGCAGGCAGTGGGCCATACTTCTTTTTGCAAAAGGGAGGGCTATCTTTATACTCCTAACATTGGAATTTCTACCAAAAAATCAAACAACAAAAGGGATATTCAAATAAGTCTCACCATTTCAATAGGAAATTAGCATAACTTGATTCTTCCCAAGTATAGGAAGAAAAGTCTTTAAAACAGTAAACCTTTAAGCCATGTATGATGGTGCACACCTGTAATCGCAGCTACAAGTAACAAGGGTTGATGATGTGAAGCTCAGTGGTAGAAAGCTTGTCTGGCATATGCAAAGCCCTGGGTTCGATCCCCAGTAACACACAGACACGCACACAAACACACACACACACATACATAGACACGCACACATAGACACACACACACACACACACACACACTAAAGTTTTAAGTATTAATTAGCTGCAGATTTAAAAACTGGCCAAAGAAATCATTCCCACCAACCCATTCCCTACAT